TGACGCACGCTATATCGCCTGGCCGCGTTTCGATTTTCCTCTACACGCAGTTCAGCGGCCATATTCGCTGCCTCAGAAGACATTCTTTTTAACCTAGCCCTAACTACCAGAGCTTGATCCTTCTTGATAAGCAAGGAGGCCAACTCTGCCTTAGCTAAGACTATGTCCCCACTAACACGGGATTTCACGGCCCGATCAACTTTTTCTTCTAAAGCCGTTTGCGCCGCTAACTTATCTAAATTGAGCCGACGACTAAAATCGGCAGCAAACGTTCGAATCTTAGATTTTAAGTTGCCCCACCAGGCATTTCCCACAACCGCTCCCGTCAATTCCCTCTGGATCGTTAGTAGCAGCTGGTCCCGAAACCCTGATCACTGAAAAGCGAACAGTTCAATTTCCAGTAACCAGCCAACCTAACCTTAGGCTTATCTAAGTTTACACGGACCCGGACAAGCCTATGATCCGTATAAACTATATAATGGAAACTTGGACACCCTAAGAGCCCCACATCGACTCTCCCTAACTAAGACTCGGTCCAGGTAGCTCGCACGCGAGCCAGGATCCGAGTTGCCACTAGTTGTCCAAGTCCATACTACCTCCCGAGGGTGTTCATTCCGGAACTTATCGACGAGATCAAACCCATCGATAAAGTCCCGAAATGGTTTCACATCCGGGTTGTTAGTACCTTTTTGTGCCCTATACGATCTATATCGGGGTCAAGGACGGCATTCCAATCCCCCCTAAAACTACCCGACGAGACGTCGTCAAGAACGGCGCGATCTGCCGAAACAAAGCAGTCCGCTCGGAATGGCTATTGGGCGCATAAACCCCAATGAGACAAAGAAGCTTATCCTTTATGGTAACATCCAGCACGCAAAGCCTGCCCGCCGAATCCGCGAAGACAAGGGTACATGCAGCCTTCAAAGACCTGCTCACTAGCCAAGAGACACCCCTCGAACAACCATCAAAACATGCTGAATAAAGGGCGAACCCCTTAGACAGTATGTCCTCACGATCATGAGAAGAAAACCGGGTCTCTTGTAAACAACATATATTCACCCCGAGGCGCTGAAGGTCACGAGAGCCTCGCCCTGCAAGACTCGGACCTCAGGCCCCGGGCATTCAAACTAGCTAACCAGAGAGCCATTGTGAAGCCGATTAGGGTTGCCCTTCAGGATAGAACATGGCTGGGGTGAGGACACCGACAGCTCGTCCCATGGAACCAGACGCCATCTCATTCTCGACGGTATCATCCTGAGACAAGCCGCCGATGTCCGAAGGGTAGGTTAGTTTCAAAAGCTCTATAAAGGGATGGGTGAACAAAAAACTGGGACCCTCCTTTAAGTTTCTGACTTGCTCCATCCGAATCTGGGTCTAACAAATAGGCAGCAGGGGGCACCATTTTAGAGATGACTGGGCGTCCTCTATCATGCCCCAAATCTCCCGCGTACCCGGGCCAGTTCTGATAACGGTCAAGATCCTTTTGCAGACGGGAAGTTTACGGGATTTTCCACCTCGATCCCATTTATCTTCTGAAAGTTCCAGAGAACTTTTAAATCCTTTTGGGTTTCTCGTCTGCCCGAACACCCTTTCTGCCTGGTCCCGGGATACGCGGCAGACGTCTTCCCCTGGGAGATATGGAGGTTTGATTTTTTTTTCTTCATGTCGGTCGTAGTTTGAGATTCAGGGGCTTCTGCCCCTTTTTTGTGAGGTGAATGAGCAGGAGTGGACATGGGTGAAGGATTTGGTGAGGGTAGAGGGCGTCCAACCCGATGGTGTTCTTACTGGAGAAGGTTTGGACGAATGTATTTTTCTGACAGGTGAGTTCGACAAAGATTTTGGCGGAGGTGGCTTTGTGAATTTAGATGAAGGGAAGACGGGGCAGAGGATGGGGGCCCGTGCCCCTGCGATTTTTTTTACTTTTACCCCGTTTAGCGTCTAGTTTTCTTTCAACTTTTGAGATCTAAAATCTTCTGCCAGCTTGGTTCGTTCTTTTTTGAGTTTCACTCGCATTTTCAGCATATGACGCCGAGGCGTCGCCCTCAGAGCTGGTAGAGGAATGGGGCTGTAGGTGATTTTGTCCCTGGTGTCATGTTGGGACTGAGGAACCGCTGTTTGGGTCTTCCCTTGCCCCTAACCACGAGGGTGCCATTCCCCCTCATCCTTCTCCTTAACCACACTAGTGGCAGGCGTTGGCTTCGGGGGTAATGAGGATTGGACCCAACCGAGGGACTTTGCCCATCGGTCCGCCTCGCAGCTAGGCCCATTACAGGCGCCGCGGATTTTTTCCTTATCGGCCAAGGGGGGATTTTGGTCACCTACGACCGGAACTCAGGGGCCTTCTTCCCTGGGCAGGAGGAGGAAAGGTGACCAGTCTCTCCACACCTCCAGCAAGTTGGTCGCCTACCAGTCACTATGACCGGCATTTTCCGGTCGCCTAACACAAACAGTTGGGGACGGACTTGAAGGCCTCTTGATCGAGCATTATATCGAAAGTCCATCCCCGTTCAAATTGTCAGAGAGAGCCCTAAAAATTTGGCCGTACTGCATAAAAAATGCAGCCAGGAGCTCTTCCGAAATTTGAGGAGGAACCTCAAAAAACGGCCACCCTGGTCCGCCTGCAGCCTTCATACTCGGTCCTTAATATCAGATCTTTCGTTATTAATTCTTTCTTGGCCATAGCCAGGCAATCTTCTGGTGTGGGCAGCAGAATGTCCCACATGAAGAAACCCCTACCCTTAATAATTCTTTGGGGTTTTATCCCCAGGGACAAAAGTGATTTGATCACGGTGTCTTTAGTGGAGCGACAAATCTTTCGGGTTTTCTTGTCGACCACAAAACGGTCACCATTCTCTTTGAGAACATATCGAGTTCCTGGACAGTATCGACGAACCCATCTTTATTAACAAGATGGGCGTATCCTTTCGCCTTATCCAGGAAATCCGCCATGTTCAGAATACAACTAGGTGGGGACTTCCAACAAGAGGGCAACTCCTCGGATGTCTTAACTTGTGACTGGTCAGTTTTAGAAATATCTCCTTTCTTGGAGATACTCGATTGAGCGGATTTTGGGCTAACGTCAGCCCGCTTTTTCGTAGTTTTGTCATGTGGGTCAGCGTTGGCAGCCTTCCCAAAAGGTCTTTTTCACAACCGACCGACTTTTTTTTTCGGCCATGTTGCTAGAGCGTGGAGACATTAGCGGGAAATTCCCACAAACAGGGGAGGAGTTGGGAAAAAAAAAAATAAAACAATTAAAGCAGGCCTGGAAAACCCAGGAAATTAAAGTATAAAAATAAACTAAAAGTAAAAATCAAATAAATGACAGCAAGAAAATAAATAGGTAAGACTTTTTTTTTTTAAAAAATAAAAATAAAAATGGCACCCGAAGGCAGCCGAAAAAATGAAACTCCTCTCTTTTTTTTCAGAAATTCAAAACTGTACAAAAATAAAAAATAAAAATAAAAATAAAAGTTTTCGGCCGAAGCCGATAAAGAGAATAAATTAAAAGTAAAAACAAACTAGTCAGACCAAAGGAAGAAAGCGACCAAAATCGCTAAAAAAAGGAGAAAAAAAAAAAATAAAAACAAAGCTTTCTTTTTCTTTTGTCTTCAACTGTTCTTAAATTTTAAAACTGAAAAGAAATAAACAAAAATAAAAAAAGTAGTCGTCCGGTAAGACTTTGTCAAACCGGACTAAAAAAAAGAAAAATATGGGCCGAAGCCCAAAAACAAATTAAAACAAAACAAAAGCAATGAAAAAATTAAAAAGAATAAAAAACTTAAATCAATAACTTATCAGAAAAAAAAAAACTTGAAAATTCCAGTAAAGTTCTTCCAAATAGGTAGACAGATCACAGAAACTGGCTCGCCACACAGTAGTATTATAAAAAAAATTCAAAAAATGACATGCAACAATTAACACGGGAGACAAGAAAAACAGTCAACAAAGGTCTGACTCGGAGGTCCTGCTCAGTGATGGTCACCTGATCTCCCAGAACTCTATAGAACTGTCCTATTAGTAGTAGAGAGATCAATCCATTCTGATGAGAAGGTGGGTGCGCCCCAACACAAACAGATCGCAATACATACGTACGTACATACTTACATACATACATACATACATACATCTTTCCCCACTTTTTTTTCTCCCACGCCTACTCCCCCATTTGCTTTCTTTTATATCTTATCTTTTCACATTTTCTCTTTTACTCTTTTCCTGTGAGATGACTTATTAAATAGATCAATGTCTCGCCATTACCCCCTTTCTACTCTTATGTATCTTAACATAAATAGGTTTAAAATTATACCTATCTCTCCCTTCCTTCTCTAATTCCGACCATATCTATCGTCCCCCTCCTCCCCCTCTCTCTGTCACCTTACATCAGCTTAAAACGACACCTCAAAAGCTTGTATAAATATTGCTTTTATATATATATATATATATATATATATATATATATATATTTATATATATATATTTTTTTGAATTTGTAGGTCTGATGAATTGGATCGTATTTACGATTCCAATGGAATAAATTATGACCATGGAATATTAGTGTTTAAGCATTTTTACTATATTCTTACTCTCTCCTAGACATTGAGTTCTACCTGGATTCTTCCCCTTGGAATTTTTTTCTAAAAATATACATGTATGGGTATTTATATATTTTGCATATGTATGTATATTTTCCACTAATATTATCTCTCTCTCTCTCTCTCTCTCTCTCTCTCTATATATATATATATATATATATATATATATATATATATATATATATATATATATATATATATATATATATGAGAGAGAGAGATGGAGACATCACTAAAGTGAATGTTTTTTCACTCTTTCGCCTGTACATATGGTCTCAGTCTGATGAGGTATTTCTGAAAATATGTTGAGAAATATTAGCTCATGCTTTTGTGCAAGAACCAGTGCCTGTGATGCAAATGTCCGTACGGAATTCGGATTTACGCGGACCTTTCAACAGCCCAAATACTTACGGTTATATCATTCTGAAACAACGGTTCTCGTAAGATCACCAAAGTTAAGCAACGTCAAACTTGGTTAGTACCCAGATAGGTGACTGCTTTGGAATACCAGGTGCTGCAAGCTTGGGTGTGCGGATGGTGTAATGATAACGGCTCTGAATTGGAAATCGGAGAGCCGTGTTTCAATTCCCGCTAGGTTCGTTATATTCACTTACGCACAAATATCCTTGGGTAAAGTACGAATCCACGTCTTTTCTCCCCAGCTATGTGTTAATTAGTAGAACTTGTATAAGTAAATCATTATTGTCTCCCCCTAATTCTAACGTTAAAAAATATTTTCTGGCTTTAAATAACATTCAAAAAGGTTGATAAACCGTAAAATATATATAATCATCAACTGAATTTTGATCTGAAATGTTCACGCAATAAAGTTCGATCGTCGTGACTATTATTCACTGCTGGTTTAAGTGAATAAATAGAGGATATTATAGTGAAAACAAAATATTGGTTTTTGTATAATTTTTAACGTCATTGGACTACTAATGTAAACTACTATCTTTCTATCTATGGCTTTATCTATCTATCTATCTATCTATCTATCTAGTTATCTATCTAGCTATCCGGCTCCATCTATCTATCTATCTATCTATCTATCTATCTATCTATCGCTTTGTATGTCTCTGTCTATCTGTCTCTCTATCTCAAGCTCTGTCTCTGTGTCTCTCTCTGTCTACTTATATTTGGTTCTGTCTGTCTGTCTCTCTCTCTCTCCGTCTTTCTATTTGTTTCTCTCTCTCTCTCTCTCTGGCTCGCTCTATATATCTCTGGATCTCACACTTTATATATCTCTGAATCTGTCTCTCTCTCTCCCTGTTACTCTATCTCTGTCTAGAGAAAGAGAGAGATTGAGAGAAAAGAATATCTCTCTATGTATAATCTCTATCTCTATGTACATATCTGTATCTCACTCTCTTTCTGTTTCTCACTCTTTTTTGATATATATATATATATATATATATATATATATATATATATATATATATATATATATAAATCTCTCTCTCTCTCTCTCTCTCTCTCTCTATATATATATATATATATATATATATATATATGTGTATATATACAATCTCTCAATTTTATATATATATTCCTCTCTCTCTCATATATATATATATATATATATATATATATATATATATATGTGTGTGTGTGTGTGTGGATAGTGCAATGGATAGTTGTTAGGAATGTGAAATCGGAGAGCCGAGTTCGAATTACAGTTGTGTTTGTTACATTCACTTAGGGGCAAATACTCTTGACAGAGTTATGAATCCATCTCTCCTCACCCCAGCCGTGGCTTCAGTATTAATCCAGACTTGGTTCTTTAGCCTGGGTTGACAACTAGTATAGGAGTACGACAACCCTGAATTCAAAATCTGAGGAGGGGGAACCTCGTGCCACACTATGAGCTTCAGTTTTCTGTATGCGTTTCTTACCCAAAACATAAATGGTTGTTCACAAGTCGTCATTATAATCAAATCATATTCAGTTCCTGGAGCTGAATTGTTGACTCTTCATACGCCAAAGACACCAGAAGTGTACATCATATATATATATATATATATATATATATATATATATATATATATATATATATATATATATAATGTGTGTGTAAGAGAAGCGAGAGGGAGAGAGAAATTGTCAATAAAATGAAAGTGGTCAAACTAGACAAATATACAGAGGTAAGTATTTCTATGAAGAAATAATAGCACATTTAAAAAAATACATTAATAGAATTGTTATGAGATGAGGACTGTGGTGTTTTACTTGGCTTCTAATTGGTGAGAAGCTACTCATCTTGAAAATTAGCATTCAAAAACGTGGCTCTTATCTCGACTGATATACTCGCCGTAGGCGCCGGGCGTGATATTAATGGAATAGCGATCTTTTCCTCCTGTACAGATAATTCTGTATGAAATAACAAAACCCAGATAGGATGATTAACCAAGTGAAATAAACGGAGACATAGGAATAGAATTTGTTGCGTCAATTTTTATACTGTGGAGGACAGATCTACTACGAAAATCAACATTTGAAATTGTTTTCTTTCTTGGCATCGAACAAAGAGGCATGTTAACCTGCAATCAAGACTTATGCATCAGCAAATTCAAATCAGTTGATCAGTCAAAGTTTATAGAGTTTTTTTTAAATTTTTAACTAGACAGTAGAAGACAGAATGCATGGTTGTTAGCAAAAGGATGAAACCAAAATGCAAATTACTAATTGGAGATTGGAGATACTAAAATCAAACAAGTAAAAAAATTAAATATCAAGGAATTGGTTTAACAGAGGACGGAAAGTACGATACTGGAATCCGAAGGAGCATTGAGATAACGCAAGATGCTTTACAAAAGCTAAGCAGAGTATGAAGAAACAAAGAAAAGAGTACTGAACTATTACGTGATATGGTAGTGAATGCAGGACAATCTATACAAAGATGAAGAAGAGACTTGAAGCAACAGAAATGCAGTTCTATAGAAGGATGCTGAAGGTTATATGAACCGAATACGTGAGCAACGACAAATGGAAGTAAAAAGAAAACTTATACTTAAAATCAGGAATGGACAGCTGACATTTCCAGGATCCATAATGAGGAAAGAGAGCATGGAAAATTTGATACTCACAGGACAGATAGAGGGCAAGAGTGACAGAGGAAAACAACGCATAACATAATGAGATTGAATAATGGATGGCAGAACGGGGTCTGAGAGAAATAGATAAAATTTACTAAGAGCCACAAACGACAGGAAATTGTCTACGGTCTGCCTTCTGAGAGATACTGCACATGAAGATGTAGGAAACCGTTTTTTTTTGCCTCCTACTACTACTATCACTACTACTACTATGGATAGCAGAACAGGGTCTATTAAGAGCTACAAAGGAGAGGAAATTATGGAGAGACATGATCTCAGGTCTTTTTACTACAAGACCAAAAATCACCCTGGAGGCTCAAGTTATGTTCTTAAATAACCTCGACAGATCGAGACTTTCATATGGATGCCATGCTTTGAGCGAGTGAGGCCTGAAGATCTTGGCGAAGACCATAGATCTTTGAACATCGTGAATTGGCGCTACAGAATCACAAATAAAGAACTGTACCAAATAACAGAAGCCACATCACTTGAGGACTGACAACAGCAGCAAACTGTAAGGCTCTCAGCTATGGTCAAATAGTGAACTTGCAAACCAAAATTAAAACACTAGCAATGTATAAAAAAATAAATTGTTACAGTAAAAATACCAGCAATACATCTTAATAGTAAAATTGACCAAGAATACATTTTAATAATAAAAATGACCAAGAATACAATTTAATAGTAAAATTGACAAAGAATACATTTTAATAATAAAAATGACCAAGAATACATTTTAATAGTAAAATTGACCAAGAATACATTTTAATAATAAAAATGACCAAGAATACAATTTAATAGTAAAATTGACCAAGAATACATTTTAATAATAAAAATAACGAGGAATACATTTTAATAGTAAAACTGAAGACATGGCATATATTGTCAAAACAATTGGAAAAATAAAATTGCTATGGTTAATCTCATTTCATGTCAGGAGAAAAAAAATCACTCCTCGCTTGATTTTGTAAGATTTGGTAAAAAAATATGCAGCAAAGTAATTATAATTTAATTATGATATAATGTCATTCTTTGAATTGATTACGATATTTGAAATTTCACTTATATTTTGGCATTAAATAACTTATACGGGCTGATATTTCGCTAAACAATCGAACCAAACCACTTTTATTAAGACCGGCCTCACGTTTATTGGATACTGAAAAAAGTTCCGATCTCACACCCAATTATTAAGAGCTCCTTGTATTAGACACCTAAGAGTAATTAACGCCGATACTCTCTGACATCAATATTGCTAGACACATGTTTTCATTTAATAACACAATATTGTCAAATTATGATAAAGAGCAGATGAACTCCTCAGAGTCAACAACCATCCACCTCAAGTATAGGTTAAATAGCATCATCAAGCAGTAATTGGCCAGGCGTGATAAGCATGGTTACATCCCTGAAAACATGGTCAATCAAGGAGGGATTCCTCCAGCAGGATTGAGAAGGCCGTGGATTTGTTCCTCAAATTTGATCAAGCCACGTTGTTGAATATATATTGCACTTGGATAAAAATCGAATGAAAGAGAAAGGTAGTGTGCGAAAATAGATGGTAAAATGACTTTCGTGAACATCAAAATATTACTCTTATTAAAAGAGTATGTTTGAATGACATTTACATATTTGTTGTTCAAACGTCAAGCTGCGAAAATTTGGCGACAATTTCTGGCACTATTTATAAATGTCTAAGTAAAGTTCATATATGATAGGGGAGTAGTGGATAGCGGCTCGGATTGAGGAATCAGAGAGCCGAGTTCGAATTCCAGGCGAATCCATTAGATTCACTTACGTGATAATACCCTTGGGAAAGGTATTAATCCTCTTCTTCTCCCTCCAGCTATGTGTAAATAACAGAGCAGACTGGGTTCTATAGCCTTGGATGGCAACTTGCCTAGGAGAAGGAAAACTCTGAATTCAAAACGTGCAGAGGGTCGTTTGTGGACCTTGTGGAACGTAGTGCATCAGGTCTCTGTATTTGGCTCTTTAAAATGTGTGGTTGGTTCTGCACTTCACCAATATAATTAAATCAAAATGTGCTGGTGTCTAGGCTGTCGGTTCCTAGGAACAGATCTGCTTGACCCTCATACATTGAATACGACCGGAGAGTTCACCAAGTAAAGTTCAATTCATGCTATTTTCATTATTCTGTACAAACCTTAAAATAACAGAATAAAATTTTTACATTTGTTAATCTTGTCCGGAAACACGGTCACTGTTTTGTGTTTCTGGAAAATTAATACAAATCGGATTACTGGATAACGAATGGAATCGAAACGAAAAATTACAGGTTGCAGATGTTTCTTCGAATGTTATAACCCAATTAATTGATAAGTATCTAAAACCGTTTGAAGATTTTGCTATAAATGGAAATTTTGTTATTTAACTCTAAATATTTTTTCTGTATTATGACTGGCATTAGTTCTTAATATAGTTCTATAACTGATATTGAGCGCTTTCCAATAAGCACCGCGCATATATAATATATAAATAATATATATAAAAATATTGCATATATATATATATATATATATATATATATATATATATATATATATATATATATATATATATATTTACATAATTTATATATATATACTAGAAGCATGGCCTGGCGTTGCCCAGGCTTGATCCAAAAATCGTACGACTCATACAGCAATCGCTATCACTCGACTTAAAATATTTTTGCCCTTCCTTGCCTTTAAAGGAGTGCCCTTTGCCGTGCTGATTATTAAGAAAATTGGCTAAAAACATGGAAGCATCATATGTTTAAGAAAACATAAAACAAGAGAAACGTGTAACTTGGGCGATGAAATACAAAGGAAACTGATTTTAATTTTTAATGATAAATGTAGAGCTACATTAGTTGGGCCTCGTGGCTAAGTGAAAGGTTTTTTTCCTACACGGTATTAATTAACCAACACAAATTAGAAGGCAATAAAGTAATGGTGGAGTAATGTGTTTTAGTCAGTAAAATTATAAGTCCCTTCAAATTTGATAGTAGTACCAAGATAAATGCAGAAAATTATTGTAGTTGGTCAATAAGTTTTTGAGTGGTACAGGTTTTAAC